TTTGAACTCGTAATGGGCTTGTGACTTCCTCTTTTTTATTTATGGAAACATTCGCAATTTTCCTTATTCTTCAAAATATTCTCGGAGATTTATCTTTTAATGCAGGATCGGTTTAAGAGCGAAAATCTCTCCGCGAATCACTCCATTCCTAGGATAAAATCCGCAGTTTACTAGGGACATGATGTCCCTATAAATTATAGTCTCAATTCCCTTTACTCCTCACCACTCTTTTTTATTTTAGCAGGTATGGAGTTCAACCTTCGATGTTCAGAATCTATGCCCGACTTCTCCAGGATCGGAATGATAAACGAAGATGTTCCAAATGAGCCAAACAGGCAGCCTCTTCCATCTCGCGGCTTCTTCAGATCTCAGATCCGAGCTCCGTGTGCTTTGATCAGGGATCTCTCAATCAGAGACCAAGGAACAGCGATGGCATTCATAGAGGCACTTGCGCTTCAACATCGGAAGCTTACTTTGGAAAAGAGGAGACTCCGGAAGAAGATTATCCGGATACAACGCAGGCTTACCACGGTATCGAGAAATCTTCACATCCTAGGCTCTCATCCCGGTGAATGGATCGAGCTCGGAATCTCTTACTTTGCTCAAATTCCGGACTGCATGATGCCAATCCTCGATCTTGCTGGTCAAGGAGTTGAAGTGTTCTGCTCGTCAACAAGTTTTCCCTAATCCGAAGTGTACGATGAGGAATATTCCGTCTTATTTGTTTGAATAAACGCTCTATTTCCAATCTCTTGTATGTTCGCATAGCCGAACCTTTATTTGCTTCATTTGTTCGCTCAGTCGAACCTTTTCCTTTAATAAAGAAATAAAACAAAATTTTTATTAATAGCTGACTCGTTTCCGAGCTGCCTACGTACCCATTTCGGGATCAAGCCACACCGTAGTTCATGTACATAAAAATGCATGTAGCTTTAAACATAAAACTTCTTTAGGTTGATCACATTCCAAGGTCGCTTGACTGGCCTGTCTTCTAAGTCTTTCAATCTATAAACACCGTTCCGAACCACTTCGGTAATAATGTAAGGTCCTTCCCAATTAATACCGAGTTTACCGGCACCTTCTTCATTTTTATTGTCAAAGACGCGTCTTAACACATAATCTCCCACGAAGAAAGGCCTACTTTTGACTTTAGAGTTGTAATATCGGGCTGCTGACTGCTGGTAGTTCTGAATCCGAATTAAAGCTTGATCACGCCTTTCATTTATGGTATCTAGTGAATCATTAAGCATTGATGAATTTTCTTCCTCATTTAATGGTGCTTCCGTTCGGCGAAGTCCGGGCACGTTGAGTTCAGCTGGTACTACTGCCTCCATGCCATAAACCAAAGAGAATGGAGTTTCTACGGTATGTCGCCTAGGGGTTGTACGATAGGCCCATAGGACGGGTTGAAGTTCTTCATACCATCCTCCCT